TACCCTGGACTAATTCTTGTTTTACGGGAATTATTTAATCTTTAAAATAACTTTAAGTGGTAGCACTATTCTCCTTTTACGAGTCAGGAAACCCAGCCGTGGAGAGGTTAAGTAATTTGCCCTAAACTTTACTTCTGGTCCATCCTGGAGCCATATCAGGGGTGGCTTGCCAAGTAAAGGGTTTTTTTTGAGGAGGATGTGTTTTGGGAGCCTTCCTTCCCTTGTTCTCAGTCTTGGAAGGCTGGTCCTACGTGTGGCTAATCTTTCTACTCTGGCTGTCTTAACCACTCACTGTGGATTGTTCCAGCTGCACTGACTGAGTGCACGTTGTTGATCACTTAAGTGAGTGCCTGGTCGGTTTCCAAGAGAATTTTGAGCTCTGCAAGTGGCAGAAGGTGATGAGCTCTGAGCAGCAAAGAGATGTTTGAAAACTTACCAAGCTGTCATCTATACAAAAAAGATAAATAACATGGTTCTTAGAAGCAGTTATGAAGAGCATGCAAGCAGTATAATCAAATCCTAACCTAAATGGTAATAGAGGTTGAGATTTGAATTTATGGAAATGTTGGAAATTTGATAAAAAAAAGCCCTTAAATGGTCTTTTACTATGTATACTGGATAATTTGGAGAGTAGAAGAGCGTTCCTTGCCTTTCTTGCATGTCTTTCAAAATAAACTCCCATATCCACCCACTCCTGATACAGACACAAAGGGACTAGTGGTGGCTGATGTTTTTCTAAAATACGTTAAAGAAGAGCAGCTCTTTTAAAATTCGTCTTCATTTTGATCTCCATCCTTCAGTCCCTTCCTCACTCCCATCTCTCACCCATTCTGTTCTCATCGCACTGATTAGCCATCTTTTTACTTATATATGTGGGGGGGAACTCTGCCTCACCTTGCTTTTTCAGTATTTCAAGAGCTTTTGACTTTCATCCTCTAGCAAAATGCTGACTCCTCAGCTCTCACTCCAGTTGAGGCCTCGACTCTTAACTTGATAAATCTGAGCCTTCTAATATACTTTCCCCATTTCTCATACCATTTCCCATCCTCTTCATCTGCCTTTTGATTATAGGTTACATATATATTCTTGCCAGTTGCTTCAAAGATATCTTTGTCTTGGAGTTCTGCCATTTCACAGTTTGTCAAGTGTGATTTTCATTTTATTTATCCTGCTTAGGGTTCATTCTGATTCCTAAACCTGAAGATTCATGTCTTTCATCAAGCCTGAAAAATTCTTTCCCTATATTGCCTCTCTCTGGTTCTTTTTCTCTTCTTCTGACACATTTACTAGATGTATGTTGAGAAATACTTCTTTCCTTCATGTCTTTTAACCCTTGTTTTCTGTTTTTCATCTCCCTTCCTCTTTGTGCTGCATTTGAGTAATTTTCTCAGATCTATTTTTCAGATCTCAGAAAGTTTGCTCTTTCTGTATTCAGTGGGTCTAATCTGTGTTTATCTATCTTATATATGTTTTGAATTTTCTATTTCTAGTCTCTTTTTCAACAATAATTGAAAGAATAATTCTACTAATTTGAAGAATTTTTATGTGGTTCTTGTAAAATCTGACTTTTTAAGTACTTTTTAATTCTTTTCTCGTGTTTTCAGTTCCCACTTTTATATCTTCGGTCTTTGTAAAAATCCTAATTTTAGGATGTTTAAACTGGAACTATCTAATAGCTCTTATACCTGAAATTCTTGGTTATGGGAGGGGGGACGGGGGGGACTTCCTTATCCCTGTGTCTCCTGATCCTTGTTCGTGGTGGATGGTTCGTGTGTTTTGTCATTTTGGGTTGTGAGTTTTCCTTCAGGGACTTTCTCGGTGGTAATCTCATACAGGCTGAGGTGACTGTGTGTCCCTCCAGAGAGATTCTGTCTGTGCTTTTGTCAGGTGCGCAGGGTTATCACTGGCCTGGGCCACTTTTTATTTTAACTTCTCATCTAGAGGGGCAGACCACGTCAGAGTGGGTCAGTCTGGGCTTTAAACCTACTTGAGGTGGGCCTGTGGTCATCCGTTCCTAGAGCGGCTTTTGGTCACCCCACTGAGATCCAGGCTGAGGCAGACACATTTTTTAACTGTCTCCTTGTGCAAGTTGGAGAATTTTTTTCTCTCTAGTCCACTATTTCACAGAGAGGGGTCTTTTGACAGTTCCAGCTTTATGTGGGAGTCTCAGTTCCCATTCCGTCACCTGTACATGAAGGCCCTGGGGCTTCTTCTCCCAAACCATGTGAATTTACAGTCCAAATCTCATGTTACCAAGGCTGGTAAGCTTCCCTCCTCTCAGGGCAGCCAGTGGCCATTCAGAGACTTGGTTTTGGTTTTCAGATCTCTCCGTGTGTTTGAGCCTGGAAAGTTCATTATTTTCTTGAGCACTCAGCAATGTATTTAAAAAGATATTTATTATATTTTACCCAGAATTTCTAAGCTTTTAATAGCAAAAGATTTTTCAAAGATATCTAGTCTGCCAAGAGCACGTCATCATCATCCTCTGACAGTGTCTACTAATGGGTGGAAGCTGCCTGTCTACATTCGAAGGGGAGTATGGAGAAGGGGCCTCTGCCCTTTAGAAGCTCATAGTTTTTTTTTGTTGTTTAACTTATTCATAAGCTCTGAGGACTGTTCATTCAGACTTTCACTCAATCATCCTTACATTCATATCACATTCAATAAATACTTAGTAAGTTCCTATTATCCAGGCTTTCATTCATTTATTCAGCAAATATATATTGTGTACAGTATCTGCTACATGCCAGATATGTGCTCATGCTCAGCAAAAACATACCCAATCCCTGTCTTCATGGAGGACACAAATATTGATCTGATAATTAAATAAATAAATGTAAAGTTGCAAATGTAGCAAGTGCCACAAAGTAAATCTTCATGATGCTATGAGATGTGTATGGGAGGTTTGTCCAACTCAGGCCAGGAAGGCCTTATTTGAAGAAGTGAAATAAGCAAGAGTGGCTTTCATTGAGTGAAAAGGGGAGCAATAATTGTGCCAGATATGGAGCAGTATGTGCAAAGGCCCTGGGATGAGGATGACGGACTAAGAGAAGAGTGCTGAGACTGCAGTGGAAACAATGAGAAGAATATGGTTCTGGAAGAGGCTGAGAGGGAGCTAGAGGCCAAACCACGGAAGACCTTGTAGGCTATGTATTTATCATAAGAGCCATCGAAGGACTTTAAACAGGGGAATGACACATCTGATTTGCCCTTTGAAAAGATCTTTCTGACTTTAGAGGAAAGAACAGATTTGAGGAGTCAAGAGTGACAGTGGAGCCCAGTTGGGAGGCTATTGTCAGTAGACCAGATGAGAGTTGCTGGTAGCTCAACTCAGGTTTTGGCTTTGTGGAGAAGAAGATATGGACAGAGTTGAGATTTACTTAGCAGGTAAGATTATCAGGAAGAAACAGAGAGATGGGCCAGGAACAATTCCAAAATTTCAGGCTTATATACCTGGATGGCTGGTGGTGTTCCTTTACTGAGGTAGGGAACACTGGAAGAGGACAAGGTTTGGTAGAAAGGCATGGACTTTTCTTTTGCGCATATTGAGTTTGAGATTTTTGAAACATCTAAGAGGAAAATATCAAGAGGCAGTTAGATATATGGGTCCAGAGCTCAGAGAAGAGGTCTGGGGATATAAATATGTGAGTAATTTGCCTATAGGGGTTCATTAGATGAGATTTCCTGTGGGGAGATGGAAGCTATCTCTTAGATTTAGAGGTGTGGAGGTTATTGGTGACCTTAGTCTGAGCTTTTTTGGTGGTAAGATGGGGTGAGAAACTTGGAGTAGGGTGTAGAGCCAGCAGGAGATGAGAAAGTGGAATCAGTGGGTAAAGACAACTTTCAAGAAGTTTGCCAGTGAACTTATGTAAGGCTTGAATTCATTTTTAAAGGAAACATGTCACTTAATTATGATTGCAAGGCAAAAAATATCTTTTAAAATAGAGAGTCAGGTGGCCAGCCTGGTGGTGTAGTGGTTAAGTCTGCATGCTCTGCTTCGGTGGCCCGGGGTTTGCAGGTTTGGATCCCGGGCACAGATCTAGCACCACTCATCAAGCCATGCTGTGGCAGCATCCCACATAAAATAGAGGAAGGTTGGCACAGGTGTTAGCTCAGGGACACTATTCCTCAGAAAAAAAATTAAAAAATTAAATTAAATTAATAAAAATAAAATAGTCAGTAGAAAAATATTAAAATGGTTTCTTGATAGTGAAAAGGTGGCCTAGATAGAGACATAGGCTGGCACAGAGAGGACACAAAGACACTGAACCGATATTGAATTGTAATAATAGCTAACATTTGTTGAGCTCTCACTACTGTCCCAGGTGCCAGTCTAAATGCTTAATGTGTATTAACTAACTTAACCTCCACAACAACTCTGTGGGGTCGGTACACTTATTATCCCATGCAGGACGTGAGGAAACTGGTCACCAGCAAGGTGCTGTAACTTGCCAGGGTAGGAAAACAGGATTTCAACGCAGACAGTCTGGCTGTGGAGTTCATGTGCGTAACCACTATGCGAGACTGCTTCTCGATGTGTGGGTACACGACAGAGTATCTGTATCGTCTGTGAGCCAAGATATGGACTCATCCATCCACAAATATTGAAACTGTTATTGGTTATATAATGACTTTGGGCAAAGACTATAAACTAATTACCTGTGACTCAAAAACTGTTCGAACTCCTTCTTGGCTTTGTGCTATAGAACAAGACAGGCGTAAATAGAAGGGTCATTAGACCCGCTTTAGCTTTAATCAGTGGCCTTTAATAAATATGTGCACATTATTCATCTAATTGCACCTGTAGCCACGCGGTGGCCTCGCTGCTGAGGTACAATAGGTCAGTCAGCTGCCTTCACAACAGTCTGAAGCCACCTGCACCTCTTTGCCAAGATGTGTCATTTGTGAGTTTCATTAACCAATGTCCTAAAATAAGTGACCTTTCCGGGTCCCTGGGGGTTGGTTTTAACTCCAGCATGTGTGTTTCTTTTCCTCCTAAGGATTTAACAACACCGAGAGAACATGCGACAAAGAGTTTATTATACGTAGAACAGCCACCAATCGAGTACTGAATGTCCTCCGTCACTGGGTCTCAAAGCACGCACAGGTAATTCAGTGGCCTCGTTAATTATTTTCAAGAATTTTTTTAAACTAACTTTTTAAGTCGTTGCACATGTAAAACACCTCCTGGTTCTCTGGAGTTAGAGTTTGAAACCTTGAAATTGGAACGCAGGAAGGGAAGCAATAGGAGGGTAGACATAGATCAAAGCAGACACACATGCATCGCCAACGCTCCCCGTTTCAGATCCCCAAATGGCGTGGCACAGGCGGGCAAGCAGGGCTCCGCTCGGCCTTCATCTTCTGAGGCAACAACTCCCACCCATGGGCGCTAGAGCCAGGGCAGCTACTGTACTGTGCCACCCCGGGAGCACCATTCACAGGACCCTCTCTGTACGTGGAGTTGTGCCAACTGCAGTGGTGCCTCCTGGAGGTAAACAGCAGGTGCTCTCCTGAAGTAAACAGTAGATACCCCCGGAGGTAAACAGCAGGTACTCCCCTGGGGTAAACAGCAGGTACCCCCTGAGGCAAACAGCAGGTACCCCCTGAGGCAAAGAGCAGGTACTCCCCTGAAGTAAACAGCAGATGCCCCCTGAGGTAAACAGCAGGTGCCCTCTGGAGGTAAACAGCAGGGACTGCCCTGAGGTAAACAGGTGTCCCCTGAGGTAAACAGCAGGTAGCTACCTGAGGTAAACAGCAAATGTTCCCTGAGGTAAAAAGTAGGTACTCCCCTGAGGTAAACAGCAGATGCCACCTGGAGGTAAACAGCAGGTACTTGCCTGAGGTCAACAGCAGGTACTCCCCTGAGTTAAACAGCAGGTGCCCCCTGGAGGTAAGCAATAGTCTGGTATCTGGTCAGAGAGTGTTTTCTCAGCCTGGTTCAGGGGACGTTTTGCCTCATGCCCTTTGGTGTTTTGGTTTCTAGTGTCTGTTTTTTTTTTTTTTAAAGATTTTATTATTTCCTTTTTCTCCCCAAAGCCCCCCGGTACATAGTTGTATATTTCGTTGTGGGTCCTTCTAGTTGTGGCATGTGGGACGCTGCCTCAGCGTGGTCTGATGAGCAGTGCCATGTCCGCGCCCAGGATTCGAACCAACGAAACACTGGGCCGCCTGCAGCAGAGCGCGCGAACTTAACCACTCGGCCACGGGGCCAGCCCCTCTAGTGTTTGTTTTTAAATTGCATCACGCTGACAGGATGCCTACTTGTTATCTGTATGTTTTCAGCGCACGTTTGTAGAATTTGTACCCACTTCACCATTTCACAAAATAGAGCGAGGGCCCCTTCGCCTCAGTTGGAGGCACACATTGTGTTTGCCTCACCTGGGCCGGCTGATGGCCCGGCTCTCCTGGACATGTCGGGGGCTGGCACCTGCAAGGGGAGCAGGGAGAGAGAGAGGGGGCCCTGTAGGGCTCAGACCAGAACACGTGAAACCTGTAACATGTGAGTTACCTGATGAGCAGAGAAGAGGAGAGAAGAGCAAGGAGTTCCCCGGTCTCACTTCATTGTGGAGACCGGCATGGGTCTGCCGCATGGTCCCTGGTAATGACAGTCCATCAGATAGGGTCACCTGATGGCCAGGCTCCTGAAATCCCTGTGGCAGGAGAATTCACTAATCGGGAAAAGTGGGATTTGGGCCTCACCACCAGTTAGCCCATGACAATTCTTAAATATTAATTAAAATAAGAACAAAGATACATTAAGTGGCATAAAATTTCATCTTATGCATCTTAAATAAATAAAAATGAATCCTATATGGCTGAAATTCCAAGAAGCATCCTTAGCTCCTTGGAAATATCTAGTCTTTCTTCTCCATAATCTCAGTGAGCTGCTTGTAAATCCATTTTGCTCATCGCAGATAAAGGTGACTGGGATTTCTCCTGCATCCGCCTGTCCATCGCATTCCTCTCTGGTTTTGACTCAGGGTCTTGACTTCTGATTCCTGGGGCCCACAATGGCTTCGAGAGGCAGAGAGCTTCGAGAGGCAAGGCGGAGCAGATGCTGCTCGTCTCTCGTCTCTCTTCCCCGGTTTCAGCTGGGTGGTGCAAGTTCATGCCAAAACTCACGCAGTCAAAGCCCAGGTTTCCCTGGCCTCAGCTCCCTCCTCTCTTCCAAATCTTCCCTCAAAAAAACTCTAACCTTGCTGCCCTATCAGCCTCACTTCCCTCTTCTCAATCCCTACTGCCCTCTTTTTCTAATGATCTCGAGCAGGAATCCCTCACAATTCACATATAACTCTTACAGTAGCTAGAAAAGAATCACAGAGCACATTATAATATGGTGGGGCTGTTTTACTTTTGGTAAAGAGAATTCATAGGTGGGAAGAGATTGGTGTACTGACTCCCTCACTTGTAATAAAGAGATTTATAGGAAGGTGTTATGATCTGATTTGAAAGCTGCAGTGTACACACAAACATACATGATACAGATATACATACATACGTACACATGTGCATACAAGCACACATACATATGTGCATACAGGCAATATTAGGTTGAATAGCACCAAGTCAGTGGAACAGAAAATGGATTGACGTGAAAACAAAGGTCTCTTTATTCAGATTGTGTCCTGGTGGCTGCTAATTCTAATCCAGAAAGCATGGAAGTGTTAGCTTTTGCTTGGACAGTTAGATACTTTGCAGCCTGTTACTTCAGATGTGCTCATACACGGGGAAGCCCTGGGTCATCAGTTCCAGTTAGAGGGCCGTGCTGGGAATCCCAGCTTCTCAGACTCTCCCTTCGTCGGGGCATATGTGGATGGACTAATCGCTCAGGTACTTGGTCTTTTCTCTGGACACGATTATTATAGACAATTTAGACCCTGATGTGCCAATGGCAGTTCTCACCACTCACTCACTTGCCTTTGCTTACCTTCCCTGCAGTGTGGGTGGATTTAGGGATCTGTGGTTGGCTTCGGATTGTCCTGGTGTGACCTTATCGTGCACATCCTGTCACCTTCCTATTCCAGGGAGGCTCCGTCACCCTCCCTGTGTCGACACATGACATGCAGGACATTTCTGTAGCATTTCTGCTTATTGGCAGTTGCTGTAGGACATTTTTTGCTGTCTTCAGTGTCCAGATTTCCCTTCCTCCCTCTACGGACTCTCTACTGACCTGGGCTCCATGGTGGGAGTTTGAGCAAGTCAAGGCGGGCTCTTGGTAATGGATTGGTAAGCAGTCTGAATAGACACAGCTGCTTTTGGCTCATGGTCCTGGAGGCCACGTTGTGTGCCTGCCGCCTCCTCTCACCGACTGGGGGACAGCCAGAGCCAGTTGAATTCAGAGGAGGTGTGAGTGTGGCCCCTGACTTGATCTCCCTCAGCAAGCTGACCATTAGGGTGCTTAAAGACCGAGTAACAATCAGCGTGGTGCCTTCTCCAAGTTTATCTACAGGTCTTTACTCTCTCAAAGGCAGCGTCTAGCTATGAGATGAGCCTGCTGGTCCGAAAACCTGGGCTATAGTCTGACTCTGCCAATTAACTCTTACCTTGGTTATCTTTGGTTTTCACAGCACAATATCAAGGGCTTGGACAAGAGCATTTTTCATTATCGGAGTCACTCTGTGCCAGCTGAGTCCATTTAAGGAAGAATGTAGCGTTATTGTGGCCACCCGATTACTTTGAATTAGGAGCTTTAAAAAAAATGAGTATGAAATTGTACTCATTTCAAAAATACACCCAAACATGGCAACAAATATGTTTTTCCTCACATGGTAGACTACCCTGGGACACCACTTCAACTTATAGAAAACAGAAAAGCCACAGTGAAGCAACAAGGTGTAGAACGGTCCCCAAATAATCTGGAGAATTGAGTCCACCACAGAGTATTAGATATTATGTATATACCTCCCATTTCTCATCAAAAGTAACTAATATTGGCAGATTCTACCTTGAACTTAATTCAGGAGAAATAAGTTGCGGAAGAATGAGCTGGTTTTCCAGAGAAATAAAATTTCCCTAGGATGTCACTTTAACTCCCTACCCGCCTCCCTCATGTGGTGCTAAAATGTCATTTCTTCTCCTAGAAGAAAACCTTCTATCATTTTCTTAGTAAGTAGTTGGTAAGGCTAGAATGTTTCACTTTATTTCGGATCCTAGAAGTTTTCATCTGTTAATACATTCCGCCCTAGTTTCTCCTCATTTAGCTGTGCTTTTTACTCATTAGTTGCCTTTTATGTTGAAAGTAAAGCCACAAGGCCAAGTTGGGCTTCTCGCATGTGCCTCATCTGTGGATCAGCAGAAGGAGCAGCAGCCCAGGGTCGGGGGCACCTGTGTTCTTCCTCCCACTCTGCCTCCATATCTTCTGTGGGGCCCTGAGTCAGTCACCCTCTGAAAATGAGAACAGCCGTCCCTGTTTTACCTCCTCCAAGGATGTGCTGAGAATTAAAAGCGATGTTGACTTAAGAAGCCTGAGATACATAAGGTATAATATAGGTGTGTATGACTCAGGAGAGGAGAGATGCACATTTCATCTCTCCAGCTGGCCCCGAAGCTCCCTGCAGACAGCCTGTCTCATTCATCTTGGCATCCCCTTTCACACCATTCTGCAATGCTGGGCATGGGACAGACGCCCAGTCATAGTTGTCACTTGAGTTTACATTTTAACATTGCTGTTGTTCATTCTCTTCAGGAGGTCATTTTCTAGCCTTTAAAATTTCCAAAGGCAGCCGAGACAGAGACGACGACCGCTAATGGCCCAGGACTCACAGCTGCGTGTGCAGAGAATCTGCATAAAGGAGCTGTTTTCATTAGGTGTCTACACACTTCTCGAGCACCTCCTGCCAGGAGGCCTTACGTGTCATTTGCACAATTGCAAGGTGTCTACAGCTTCCCAGGCTGCAGAGCTGTTAACCAGACGCTCCTGTAACTGCTCTTCTCTTCTGTGCACAGACAGGCGAGGGAAGGACTTCAAGGCTGACTGTAGACAGTTTAGATCTGTGTTGCAGTCTCTGTCAGGGGCCTTGTATGCATAATCTGTAGCAATTTTGGTTTTCCTGAATTGTGTTATTCATCAACTAATTCTGCAAAGATGCTCTGTTCACTTGTTTGAGG